CGCATTGTACGAACATTCCACATACCTAAATTAATGGTTGCACTGGTTGTCAGAAAAGGCATCAGACTCCTGACTTCCGAAGGTATTAGGCTTTCATCATGTGGCGTCATAACTCTTCTAAATGAAAACCTTCTAACTCCCACGGCAGAGTTTAAATGGTTTGGATTATCTATCGGGTGAGCGTTTCTTAGCGAGTTAGCATTACGCGAGATAGGGTAACTAACCACATGCCCAACACTCTTCATTTATTCTTGCCTGCGACAGGCAGTAACCACAGAAGGGCTCCAGACGTTGTTTCCAAGTGAAACATATTAGATAAGAAATTAATTCGACATTTCTTAGTTTTTATGAATGTCCCTAGGCTAACTACAGTAACCTCTTATAAAGATTTTATGTTACACCCGTTATCATTCCAACTGTAGTTCCTTGAGCCATGTCCCAACTTTTGAGTGTTCTTGACCAAGTCTCTTTTGTATTTTATTTTCCTCGTAAATGATCATGTTAATCTAGCTTATACATGCGTTGTGTTATATCATTTCTATGCTATTTGAATTTAACAACAGTTTGACACACCCTGAACATCATCCACTAAACCCATCATATTTGTTGTTGCTACGTATATTTGCTTATACACGGTGCTGTCATATTAGTCGTAGAATTACCGTATTGGGAGTATTGGGACTCAGACGTGTAAACTGAAGTAATATTGTGTTTGAGTTTTACAGCCTAATGATTAGAAGTTAACTGCTTTAACCACTTGACTACCCTATCTCAAAATCGAATCAATCAGAGAGTTAAGTTTACAAATCTAGCATACAAGGGAACCTGATATACAACATTGGTAATATATGGTGCCCTAGATAGAAAGGCAATATAGATATCCCGGATATTCACTGAGTGTCAAAGCTGTTGTCAACAACAACTTTGTGATGGATGATTCCAAAGCTGGTCAAATCAGAAAACAGGAAAGAAAGGGTTTGAAATTGTCAATGTGTGTAGGAGTATGTAGTCGAAACCGATCAGTCGTTGCAAGATATGTGCGGCATGGTGTACCCAAAATCGATCTGGTGAGGATGAGTTATAGAGTGCCTTCAGCTGGCATGTGTCTAGTAAAACTAATGATATCAGCGTCAATGTTGAAGACTTATGGAACTATTTATTTTCGGGATTTATTAACCACTATGGCACTATTACTGATCCGTTTCAATGGTAACAAATATAGTTAGTGAATCCTAATTTCGGTAATGCTTATCAACGACCGCCATTCATCTAACAACCGACACAGTTAACATCGATATATTAGTTAGCTTGGCTTACCAAAGATAATAAAAACTTGAAAACTACACAATAGTAACATATATGATATTGATTACTCACAGGCGGACGTTGTGTTGTTCTCTCACCAACTACCAAATGGGAGAAATGAAACTCAAGTAGAAAATGTCAATAACTTCTTTACTGAGCAGTGTTCAAATTAACTGAGGTATCATAGAAAATTTTCAATGGATTAACAAATATATTTACTTATGCAAAATATCATCAACTGACTACTTCACTTGACAAATTCTGAAATGAAATATACTAGATTTATTTAAGTCACTAAAATCGGTCACTGATTTCACCCAATTATACTAGTAAATACGACAAAACAATAAACCTTAGTCTGTTCACAAAGACGTGTTGTTGAGAAAGATCATGAGATAACACTTAGTGAGGTCTCTGTAGGAAGATGATGGAATTTAAGTGAATCGTTTACTGGAAAATAATCTCAACGAACCGAGCTGTAATGGAAGACAGAAATGCTGAAAAAGACCCTTACTTTTGTTGCTGAAAAATTCCCATTATATGAACGGAGAATTGTAACATGTCAATGAACAATTGTTGTTTGTCGTATAAAATCAAATCGTTAACGTTGGGGGTGACTAATATGAAGTGTCAACTTGTACCCAAAGTTTGTGTTGATGATGTCGTTCAGAAGGACGATGAAAGCTCCACGACCAAACCATCCAGCTCAGAGAACAAAACTCTATCAAAAGTGTTAACTAGAATCAGTTTATAAGTTAAATGAAATTGTGAGATAAATGATGATCGGAATAAATATGGTTGATATGGGGTAAGAGAGAGAATGATGAGATTACAAATCAGAAATTACTTAATATGTAGAATAAGATGAATTAGGCCATATATAGTAGAAGGGGGTGGATGGTGAATAAATTTCTGTAAGAAGTTAGCAAGTGTAGTATTAAAGACAATGATAAGATATGTAGGTAAAATATTTTTAGGATATAAAAATGAACATTAATCAAATTACATAACCATATTATATAACTGATTATTATAACAGATTAATAAATGGTAAGCATTGGTTATCGCTCATATCCAAATGCCTTGCTGCTCCTCGGTTTCTCTTTTATGTTTTCTCTTCAGAATCTTGCTCTGAGGGTGAAGCTATGTAAATTCTGACATCTGGAACAAGCTTGACGAACGCGCTTTCCCAAGGTCATAGCTCGAAGCAGGCGCTCCACAAGCCTACTTTATAACAACAATAAACTTAAAAAGTTGCATTACATAAATACTTAGAACGACCGAAACCCTATTACACTTTGTGTCGAGATTGGATCTGGTATGTAACGTGGACGCTATGCCCCTTTGGAAACTATTCTTATGAAAACACATTATATCTGAACGAATGAACTGCAATCAACTTTTGTAGATTATAATTACTAAACAACCTTGCTTGGGATGCATACTGTGAACCAGTATATGTTGTAAATTGTAGATCATGCCTGTAAAAATGGCGTGTACCTGCTATTGCAGAAATACATTATTATTATTATTATTAACATGTTGACGCGGAAGTTGGCCGATAAGCATGTCTGTGCTCTAAAACTTGAGGAATGGTGAATATGTGGTCGATACAGCCACGACCAGGTCTGAAGCCAGCCTGATTTTCTCGTGTTTGCAGTTCACGAGTCTTAGTTAGGCGCCTGATAATTATCGAGGATGGTATTTTAGATGCTAAAATTAATATAAGCAGTGAGGTTACTGAGACAAGTTTGTTCATTAATATTGGTTATAGAGATATCGCCTTCGAACTACTTATTTCTTTAACAAGATACCATTTGATGACTGTGAGAGTAATTGCACAGTATCATACAGAAATGAAGATCAAAATAACCCTCAATGTGTACTGATCTCATAATCCATAGTACACAGTGAGATTTCTTGATTCTATAGTGTGAACACTATGATATCTAGATTACTGTTTACAACTAGGTGTACTTCTGTTATTGTAGGAACTCACAAGTGTTTTATTCAGTGCCTGTCCGTTTGTCACACTACGCATCATCTGTTTTGAGCTCATGTGCATATTGCTTACCCTATTCATCACTTGTTTTTTGTCTGCTGATTGATTATTAACAAGTTGGCAAGGGTAAAAGGAGCGGCTGGACACATTTCTTTTGGATGCAAAGCTCTAGCTTTTTGATCCGGATAGCAATTGCCTCAACCGTCTGTGGGATTCTTAATGTGATGGAATTAGGTAGACTGTTGTTAACACGATATATATAATTGCGAAAGATAGCTCCGTCTGAATGAAATGGGCTAAAATGGAGCTGTTGACTGTTTTGACTTCACCTTTGCTTAACCACACTGGAAGGTGCTCAAGAACCCGAATATACAAATTCCTAGAACACCTGCCTATATTAATTATCCCAACAGGCACACCTTGCTGACGAGTGCCAAGTAACACGAAACCCGGGTCCAGGGTTTCCTGTTGACCACCTCCAACCACCATCTTATCTCAATATACAGTGCAGGCAGTGTCGAGCCACCTAGGCTGGTGGCCACATTGAAACTTGATCGATAGCATTCGATCAGCACTAAGAAGGACTTGACACGCATGACATTGATCACCACCCAGTGATCGATCAATTGTGAACATATAATCGTGCCTTGTTTTTGTATTTGAAACTAAATTCGAACCAAACTCAAGTGAACATTACAGTCGCTAATCTACACATAAACTGAATAGGCCGAGTTTATTTAACACACTACATACATACTTCCTTACGCCTGTTACCTCTCGTGGAGGAACATAGGCCGCACACCAGCATTCTCCATCCCACTCTGTCCTGGGCAATTCTTTCGAGTTCTTTCCAATCGTTATTCATCCTTTTCATGTCTGCTTCTATTTCCCAGCGTAATGTGTTCTTTGGTCTTCCTCTTTTCTGCTTCTCTTCCGAATTCCGAGTTAGGGCTTGCCTCATGATGTTAATATAGTACACGGGATATTAACTCAATAATCAGCTTAATAGTGGGTTTTCTTCTGTCACCAAATCAGCGACTCATTTCGTATTCCTTACTCCTAAAGAGGTTCTCTTTATACATCTAAATCATCTAATTATCTGTAGAATTTTCTAGTTGGTATCGCTGATATCATTCTCTGCAGTCTACATTTCAAAGGATTTCTTCACAAATCATGTTCATTCTCATCTGCTCACTCAGTATTACTTGGGTGAACAAGTAATTATCTTTCCATCATGGTGGTATTTGTCAAATGTTGATAAACTTATTCTTGTAAGTCAAGATGTGAAATGTTAGGCGGTAATATGACACGATACACAACCTGACCAAGAGATAATGATCTCAACATAGTAATTCATTCAACGTTACTCGACACTTTCAAATGATTACTGAGGTTATTAGTGAAATGATCAGTGTATGAATGCTAGCGTATACAGATGACAAATATATGGTAAGCATTGAAGGGTTACAACAATTGAGATGACTAGCTAGTAACAAATAGAAAATGTAGTAAACATGGTACCTATGGCATGTTTATGAGATTCTAATTGCTTTGTAAATGGGTACACCATGTTCTGATCTATTCGAATGTTGGCCCATCCGTAGCTATTACAGTATGCTTTGGAATGAACTAGGGAATCCTATTTCATAAATTTCATGCAGCACTACTAATTATTCTAGTATATCGATTGTTGGCTACGTTTATGTGATTGCATTCAACTATTGTATTTTAATGTTACCTGCACAACTGATATGTTTACAATTGGATTATAAATACAGCCTTACAAAGGGTGTGCATATCAGTTGCCAAAAACGCTAAGCAAAAATAATGAATCAATCGAATCCATTTAGTGCAAACAAAATAAAGATGGAAAATAAATGTGCATTATTAAACTATATGGATAGAATAATACTTAATTTATATGGTTTCATCTGTAGTGACCTGCTTTTCTCGACGAGAACGCTATTGGTATAATGGAAACAATTATCATTATAACCAATTGTACCAGTGATTGTTTGACTGTACTCGTTTTGTTTAACTGTATCTAAAGCACTTTTCGTCCAGTGGCCCATCTTGTTCGTTTGAACTTTCTTGTGCTTTACCTATACTCGTTGGCACGTCTCGGTATTCTTTCAATAACACGAGATCGCCAATAAATATACTTTATCTGGACCAGCTACAACCTTCTCGTTTACTAGCTAGCGAAGGAACCAAATCGTTTACGGGCGCGTAATATTACTGTGATCATAGTCAATCGACACTCGACGCCATCTACATATTAAAGTTTGACACCTATTTCCCACATGAAAAGCATATTATTTCTTCAACGAGAGATTTCTTATAAAACATAGTCATTGACTGATCACTTCAATTCGTAACAAGGAAGCAGTTCAATTGGTGTAGGTTAATCAAAGAAAATGGTAGATCAAACACACAAATAAGAAAGACAAAATATAAAAATAGTAGTGTAAATGAATGTTAAGTATTATATCACACCATACTAACTCACCTCATATCGACATAATCTTTATCAGATTAAAGCAAACAGATTTTAATTAATGTTATTCTGACGTGTATATTAAAATATATAAGGAAACAAACTACCACATGAATTGTAAAGTTTTCTGAGTTAATAATCTAAATTCCTGAATATGACCTCAACTGTTAGTTACTTTCTAAAATAAAACACATATTTCTTGTCATTTAAATGTAATTCACCTTATTAAGTACATCAAATTCAAGTCTGGATAATGTATGATAACACGTATATTTAATAACTTTCAAAACCACACTAAAAGATCATATCTTCTCTTTCTGTGTGATGCTGTATGTGTAACCACATTTATAATCAGTAGCTCTCGTTTGTTTTTTTGGATATAAACCAGAATTCACTGGCAATTTACTGATCGTCTTGTTACATCTGAAGTTCAAATAAACGTAACCTACATCGTCCCATTGTCAGCGTTACTCACTACAAACATTAACTGAGGAGGACAGTAGTGTTATGAGACTCTTTTAGGTCGCTCCCCACCATGTATAACTGTTAACTTGGATTACCTAGTAACCAGGCTAATGGACTTATATTTCTCTTCACACAGTCAATGCTAACCGTGCTGGTGGATATTTAATGATTGAGTGTACTTTGTTCGTATTGGTTAACCAAAATGGAATGTTCAGGCAACGTTCATTACAGAACTATCATTGTTATTCTGCTGTTCAACAAATATAACTGAGTTTTGAATGTTATTGTTATATTCGTTAAGTTTATACTAAATGATTTACAACAAATGAATTAGGTAAGAACTAAAATGCGAATGTTCCTGAATGTATGATTAGTAGTGAAATTCAGTAGCATGCATAGCAGTAGCAAATAATCAAAGTGTAATGAGATTGAATGGACATAAGCAGGATGAAATAATGGTGGTGTGGGATTGTCTTCATGATTATTCTTGTCGTCTTTCCAATTTATATTGTAGCTGTAAATAATCCCCCAAAATCAATAGCTTATTAAGTGTTCAACATTGGATGCTGACCACGTTGTTTAAGTAGACTTGTTTAACTGAAGGCTTTCGGTCATGCATCCGTACCAGATCACGTTTCAACTCGACGTGGGACACTGCTCCTACGTTCACTAGTCAGCTTAGAATAAACGTTCTTCCATATATTGACAACGTATCAAATATATCTTTCCTACCTCTTCTCGTCTGACTTCTGATTTCCATTGGTCAAGAAGTTTTCGATTATAGAAGGTGCTATTGGTAGCTAATTGTAAAGTTAGAATACTAGTCGTATCCTCAGTGGTGAGCCCGACGTGATCTGGTACACCAAGCCAATAAACTGTGAGTCTGTTCCTTTTTGGAATATTATTATTCATTGTTATTCTTTATTTGATTTTTATATATTGTGATATACTTTTTTTCTCCAGTTTTTCCAGATATATTCTAAGTAAATATAGACGTAAAGTCTATGAACTAGGAGCATTACTGGACAAATTAAGGCCACTCAGTGTAGCTGTGACGGAAACTTGGTATGATGATTAGAAGTATTTGAATTGTAGTATAAACTAGTAATCCCAGGAATAACGCAATGTAATGAAGAAGTATTAGACAAGCCCAAACGAATGTATTGTATTTTGGAATTCAAAATTACAACAGTCATCAATACGAAGAAGTCATTGATTTATTTAAACATCACATCCGCCACAGCTCGAATTGGAGTGTAAGTGTCTGTAATCGATTGTTCGTCCTCTTCTTAAGTTCATCTTACATCTGTCCGACGGTGTATTGGATGTAGACTCTGTATTATCTAGAATGCACTCATTAGTATTAGAATTAACAACCGAAATTGGAACAGACCCACCTGGATTCTGGTACTGTATACAATCAGCACTCCGGCTTTGTAGTGAAACCATTGATATTTAGAATTTGCATCATGGACTTTCCAACAATATCCTCCCCCACGAAATAATGTTGGGTCCTTACTTCGCAATGTTTTAGCCAATACGACGTTCCCAATTTGCATTATCTTCTCAAATCTTACGCATCGACTACTGTATGTGAGTATTTGGGAATAAACACTGATATATGATTTGAGGTATTCCATCATGTGACTTTGATTTGAATAAAAATCATGATACATATACTTTTTGTTATTCATATTAGAATATACAGATGGATATGCATTGATATATGTAATTAACACATGTGATTCAACTAGGCTTGATTTACCTGCGAAACAATTGAATAGAAAACATTCATCTGCCTCATATTCATTAGGATAATCTTGGACTTGATTTGGATTCTCTGTCTGTGCAAACTTCACTTCTGGGCAAACTCGTTCTCTGGTTGCTTCGGGAAATTTCGCTATCCCATCTGATTCATCGTACCACTGACTAAGGATTCTACTCGAAACACATTGTTCGTGAGAATATGCAACATCTGATACAAGAACATCAGAAATATGACTAGAATTCGACTCATCAGGAACATACTTGTCACATTCATTAGGAATATCATTAGAGATAAATTGATTGTGAGGACCACTGACACTTGATATGATATCAGAATTCGATTCTTCTGAAATATTTTCCTCAAATTGATTAAGAGTTTCATTAGGTAATGGATCATCAGGGAATTCAACATCTACCATGACTGAATTTGGTTTTTGATCATGATTTGACTCATTTAACATTCTATTCTCAGAGTTGTAAGAAATTACATCAGAAGTATGTGAATTATTACGACAAACCATATCTGGTTCAATATCATGAGAAATCCGATAAGTTTGTTGGTTAAAAATTTTTGTCTCACAATGATTCTGAGTTTCATTTAACTCTGGACTGCTATGTGACGTTATACCACTTCTAAATAAAGATAACTGATCATTAGAAGCATCCATCTTAGCATTACTTTCAGCGAAATGAACCATGGTATTACAAACTGACTGAATGTGTCCAGTTATACCACATTTAAAGCATTTAGAATTACGAAATATACATGAATTGCATGGGTGAAACTTGCCGCAGAACATGCATTTACTAAACTCGTGCTCATCATCATGGACTGCTTCACAACTCAATGGAGTATTATCTGAATAAATTTGATTACGCATCGAACTGCGACGACTTATTAAAGGAGTGGAGTTCCTGAAGTTCTTGCCAGATATTTTATCGGATTTTTCTCTCTTACCGCATTCGGAATTTGTATACTTTACATGATCCAACAGTAGTTGCTTGAGAGTTGCATAGGGGAGTGAAATCGGTTTGTCTGGAAGTGCCAAAATCTTTATAAGGCTGTATGCTTCTTTCCCAATGAATGTAAGGAAATGGGCCACAGTATTAAAATCCTCATCATCTTCCTTGGTCATAGCCCAGATTTCGAACCTTTCCATGTACTCCTCAAAAGCATTAAAACCTGAATTTATATCCAACCGTTCCATTACAGGCTCAATCGCGACGCCAATATGATTAGAAGTATTTGAATTGTAGTATAAACTAGTAATCCCAGGAATAACGCAATGTAATCAAGAAGTATTAGACCAGCCCGAACGAATGTATTGTATTTTGGAATTCAAAATTACAACAGTCATCAATACGAAGAAGTCATTGATTTATTTAAACATCACACTTGGTTAGCCCATGACTTCGACAGTACCCCAGAATTGTCCGGATACCACTACCTGAGAGATGAAATACAAAGATGAAAGAAAAGAGGTAGCGTGCTTTTATTGCCTAGTTTACGTTGCAACACATAGCCAATAATATAAATATGCACTCCGCTGTTTGCGAATTCCATGATAGTGGAACTAGTGAAGTCATTAGCTGTGAGCTCACTATCGGATGTTGTACATTTGTACTCGGTGTCATCTATCGCAGCCCAATCCGCTTACCGGATGATTTTATTTTAGAGCACATTAGGCTATGGAGTGCAAATAACAGATGCTTGATATTAGGAGACTTAAATGCACCTGACATTAATTGGACTGAGATGACAACGAAAGGATCTATAAACTCTTTTGATAGCAGGTTCTTGTAAGTAGTAGTGGAGCATGCATTAGTACAGCATGTATCCAAACCTACACGTTTTGGTGTTGTAGACTATCGGCGTTGATGATGTATTTCAAATGATTGGAGGCCTACTCGAGTTAGACGGGGACGGTGTAGCGAATAAGCTAACTCCGAAATCATACCCCGTGATCAGCACCTTACGTGGATGGCCTCATCGACGTATCAAGGGATCATGGATGCTCTGAAGACTGTACAACACAAAGGACGTTATTACAGGAATATATTAGTTAAAGTAGATACAAACGAAAGTAGAACCACTGCCGCATGGGCCAGTCCATGGCGTATGATTAACCGATGCGCGTTGACCATCTTTGACCTTGAAAGGGATCGATGATCTGATCGATATTCAGTGACCCAATTGCCGGATGATTTGGCTTGGGTTCAGTGACATTTCACTAGCCCTACAGTGAAAACCAAGGTTCTTCTCTGTCGGACATGATAATCACCCATGCGATTGAGGATAATGCTAACCTAAATATTCTTCTCCCGTTAGTGAATAGCGATCACGCTGTTTTATAATTCACGTTTAGACCTACAGACATGAAATACGGTCAGGTTAGGCCTCGCCCAAATATATAGAGAGCTAACATACCAGCCATTCAGGAGTACACAACTAAGACAGACTAATAAGTAGATACTAGCTATGTAAATTCGGACACCTGGAATAAGCTCGACAAACGCGCTTTCCCATAGCTCGAACCAGGCGCTCCACAAGCCTACTTTATAACAACAATGAACTTAAAAAGCTGCATTACATAAATACTTAGCACGACCAAAACCCTATTACACTTTGTGTCGAGATTGGATCTGGTATGTAACGTGGACGCTATGCCCCTTTGGAAACTATTCTTATGAAAACACATTATATCTGAACGAATGAACTGCAATCAACTTTTGTAGATTATAATTACTAAACAACCTTGCTTGAGATGCATACTGTGAACCAGTATATGTTGTAAATTGTAGATCATGCCTGTAAAAATGGCGTGTACCTGCTAATGCAGAAATATATTATTATTATTATTATTATTATTATCAGTTGAAGAAGCAACGTGTATATTTAAAGGCAAGTTTAGTTCAGCTACGTCCTCGTCAATACCATACCTAGTACAACGTTAATTAGTAAGACTAGACAGTCGTATGAAAAACAATTGGTTAGGGATTGTAAACATAATGCGGAACGGTTTTTCTCATATATAAAAAGGTGAACTCAGAGAAGTGATGGCATCCCTTCACTTTTGGTTTAAAAAAACCTGTTAATATTGTCAGAAGATTATCCCGGAAAATCTGATACCTTATCGAAATATTTTAGTGGTGTTTCCTTCCACTAATCTGTAATGACCAAAGATTAATTGTACTTGAAGTGGCTTACCAATGGATCCTATAGCTATTGAGAAAGGTCAGTCAGTCAGTCAGCGACAACGTAGGACCAGGCACATATATGCATCGGTACAAGTTGCCATACCTCGTCAGCACAAAAAGATGAACACCGGATTCATAGTAGTTAATCTAGTGTTGGTAGCAGTATATAAATTATAGGTTGTATATAAGGACATAGTGTAGGAAGGAAAAAAGTTATGAAGCAATTTTAATCTCAAGGTTTAAGGGAAGATAAAGAGTGTATACACCTACGCCATTGTGACCGATTCTGAGCCATGTCACCTAGAGTCCAACCATTGGTTACGATAGTCACGCGGACCCCAACCAGGTAGTCTGCATCTACCAACATGGCTCAGACTAGAAGTTAGTAAATTCAAACACTGATGCCATGATTTGGTCTGGCCGCCCCTAACTCTCTTCCAACCATCCCCAATACTAGTCATCATAGCGCAACGAGGTAATCGGTGTTCAGGCATGTGTAACACATGGCCCAACCATCTCAGTCGATGAAGATTCATCACCTCATCAACTGATTTACCATCGTTCCCTAATACCCTGCGTCAAATCTCTCTATTACCTACACGGTTATCCCAGCAGATGCGAGCAATATTTCCAAGGCATCTGTGGTCAAACACTAGTGAATTACGAGAGTCTTCTACTCTTAATGGCCATGTTTCATAGCCGTAAAGTAGAACAGAGCGAACTGCTGTGCAGTATACTCGTCCCTTAATCGATAGACGGATATCTCGTCTTCGCCATAGGTGACGTAAGTTGGCAAAAGCCAAACGAGCTTTTTGAATCCGTACTGAGATTTCGTCAGACACCAACCCATTACGGCTGGTCAGACTTCCAAGATAAGTGTAGTTGTCGACGCGTTCGACTACTTCACTCCCTATCCTTAGTTCGGGTGTTGACGCAGGCCAGTCCTGGAGTAACAATTTACATTTGGATGTAGTGAAACGCATTCCAAACATCCTGGCATTATTACTGAGTTCCAACAGAAGACTGCATTTTGTCATTGTCTTCACCAAACAGGACTGTGTCATCTTCGTATTCTAAGTCGATAAGTGAACCTCCTGGTAGAAGATCAACTCCTGAAAATTCAGTCGATGAGAGTGTCATTTCCAGCAACAGATCTATAATGAAGTTAAACAAAAATGGGGATAGTGGATAGCCTTGACGGACACCACTTGAGGTTGTAATATAGCAACTCAGATACAATTGAGTTTGTTTGCATCTAATTCAGTTAAGCCCTTTTGTTAACTTATTTAATGGACAGTCATTCATACAATAACAACCCATCTATACCATTGTACTTTTATTATATACGCTTGAACATTGCTTACTGCCTACGCATATATTCATTCCGCCAGCATTATTATTAATCGCTTATTTGATCCGATGATTCATGCTTTTCCGCTTATATGTATATATGTACACCTTAATCCTGTTTACTGCTCCACTGCTCTTGCCCTGCTTGCTCTCTGCTCTGCTCTGTATTACGCTACACCGTACTGTATATGCTTACTCATTCATCCGGCTCTATGGCACTGCTTTTTCATGCTTGTTTGACGTACCTGTAATATTGGATAACTGTGTGTGGTTCAGCAATAAACACGATCAACCCTTCGTATTCGTCTTCTGATTTATACATCGTTAGGACGTTGTCGAGTAACGGTTATCAAGACGAACAATATACGAAGCTTAGGGATAGTACAGAATATCGACCACCACAGAATTGGAAGCCTCGCCGAGCGATCACAAAACAATTTTCGACGATATAATCTAATCCCGAAAATTCAAAGCGCTGCGTCTCAAATCGGATTATTATTTGTATCATAATCATAATTGTGGATTTATTAGATCCTAACTCACAAACATTGAACTTAACGATTATATTCATACTAAATAACGATCATTCACAAACAATTGATATATTGGTGCAATTTAGTAAGTCTGTTCCATTTTATAAATTGTACCATTTATTATTATCATTGTTTCTGTTCGTCTATTTTTTTTGTGACATCTACATCATATTTGTGTACTACTCAAAACGTTTTGTAAGCATGTCTTCCGAAAACACTATGTCAAGTGTACAGCAAACTTCGTCCGTGAGAACTCTTAACCTTCCAGTCCCCTCTTTTAAGGTTACCGACCCTCAGCTGTGGTTCATTAGACTTAAAAACTATTTTCTGGCTAGTCGTATTAACTTACAAAGAGATAAATTCGGCCTCACAAGCACTCTCCTCCCAGACGAAGTAGCAGAAAGCGTACGAGAGGCGTTATCTAAACCGGATACTGAAAGGCCATACGATGTACTAAACCAGGCAGTAATTAAAGCAGTCGCACTAAGTGACCAACAAGCTGTTGAGCAGCTTCTCAACCAGGTACAAATGGGGGATAGAACTCCATCACAGTTAAAAACTCATATGAATAGTCTACTGGGTGATAGAAAAATAGACAATAACTTATTTTATCAACTGTGGCTTCGCCGACTCCCGTCCAGTATTCAGCGAATCTTAGCTGTTGGAGATACTGACGCTGACATAGACAACATAGCGAAAATAGCTGATAGAATATACGAAAGAGCAAAACAAGCAAGCCCTCAATCACACAGCGTGACAGTAGACGATAGAATCAGTACTCTGCAGAAAGAGATAGATGTTTTATGCCACAAGCTCACAGAGTTGACCCAGAGCGAGAGACCACGAAAATTATCACGAGTTGGCACGCGCGAGAGAAGCCGATCAGCTTCCAGAAGACGCGCAACTCCGCTGATGTGTTGGTATCATCAAATGTATGGTTACAAAGCAAGAAAATGCTTACAATCTTGTAGATTTAGCACGGCAAGTAAGCGGCACCCTCGGTTGTCCATGGCAACGCCTGCAGCGAACACAAAGCCCTCAGACAGCCGCCTATTTTACATACAAGACCGAATGACAGGCACTCAATTCTTGGTGGACACGGGGGCTGAAATTAGCGTAGTACCCCCAGTATGTGACGACAAAAGAAACCTTAACACTTCATTGGTTCTAAAAGCGGCGAATAAATCAGATATTAAAACATATGGCAAACGAATGTTATCCTCAAATTTCGGACGAGGCGCGACATACCGCTGGGATTTTGTCATAGCAGACGTATCGATACCTATAATAGGCATCGATTTCTTATGCAATTTCGATTTACTAGTAGACTCACTGCGCCATCGACTCATAAACGGTACTCATACTAC